ATCTACCTTTCATCACTCATTCTATAGATCTTTCATGCGTGGCTTTCAGTGTACCTTACTTGCATGAACCACATGTAGTTTTCTATAGAACTTAGCTGTATACTACCCAGAATTCATTCATGTGTTTCAAGGGTTCTATAGATCTCCCTAAGCAAATTAGATTTTAAATTGCATCGGAAGACAATGATAGTACTCAAATTGAAGCTTTCATAACAAAGTTAAACAGTTTTCATCAATTTGTGTGATTTCTGTTATGTTTAAGCGGTAAAGTCAAATATTTACCCAGCCTCTCAGGTCAGTGAACACGAAGGCACCAAGCACAAGGCATATTAGTGACCATCATGTTTAGTTAAAGGTTTACAAGGTTGCCCTTCCGCTATTTTTGAAATCATCAAAGAACTCTACAAGGTAAAATTAGAATTAACTACCTAGTTAAAGTATGTTATATCGAGCTAGCTTCAAAGTAGTATATTGGTTAGTGTGAATATCTCGAGGGTTAGGCAGATCGACTTTAGGTAGTCTTTGGCTAAGCTAGAGACTTTTATGTCTAGCATACTATCTATGGTGGACAGTTACGGACAAAAGCTTCTGTCGTATTCCGTAATGAAGTTCGGTTAATTAACTGAACTTAAAATAGAGTGATTTGGTAACCCAAATAAAAGGGTTACGATGATGAGGTGATATATTAAATAACAGTGTATGCATCGGTTCGAATGCTTTAGGAGCAAAGCAAAATTCTAACATAGTATTATATACACTAGTATTTTTACTCATTTACATATCTTGCTAGTTGTGAGATGTGCTCGATGAGTTAGCCTGATTTGGCTAATTATAAGGCAAATTTTTAGGTTAATTTTGGCCTATTATAGCTAAGTGTCATAGTCGGTAAGGCTATTCACTGATTCGAGATGCTTTGTGACTAACTGGAAACCGTCGATTAACTATATGTCTTTATATATTAATATTATGCTAGAGTTAGAACTTGGCACTATGTTTAAATGGAGTAATAGCTGGATTCGGTACTAGACTTTCATGCTAACGGTAGCTTTAGGAGAATAATTTTAATTAATATTCACGGTTAGACCGTAGTTTGCGCCGCCTTTATTAGAATTTAAAAAGTGTTTTCTTCTCATATAGAATATAATTTTAGCATCGTACTCTCCAAGGTTTTTTAATGAAAAGTTCTAATTTGAAACAAGCTTAAAAAATCTTGACTATTCTACGTAGCTAAGAAAAATCTTGGTGGATTTGGCTAAGATCTGTCTAACTACTGTACCTTTAAGCTAAATCTGACTGGGGACTTGTAGAGTTAGTTGTAACTAATAAAAGAGTACTTACTTATCCTGAATGGTAGCAGTTTAGCAGAGTACTTAGCAGAGAAAGTAGTATAATAGTATTGTTTACTATACTAATGCAAACTAAAGTACTGCCCCCTCCTTAAACTTTTATGGGTAGAAGTACTGTTGATGTCTTTTGGAGAACCCTTTTCAATAATTTTTTTTATCTTATATGTTTTTATTAAGCTGCCCCAACTCGAGTCCTACTTTACTCATTCGAGTTCAATCCAAAAGAGTCTTATATTTTTCCAAGGTGAAAGAACTTGCTTAAAAACTTCAACTTTAATAAGTCGATACAACTAATAATCTCACCAACTAGAAAGTAATCTTGGTTTCTAACTTTGACCCTTGTCAATATCGAAACTCTGCTACCTGTTTCTGAATCTCCTTCATGTTGTAATAATCTCGTACTTATTTCCAGGCATTGACCAGTGGTCTATAGATCTGAGCAGTGATCTCTAAATTTCTTAAAGTTCAGTGAGGTGGAAAATCCTTGAGCTTTAAAAGATCATGGGAATCCTTGTTGAACACTTTTGTGTGAAACATGCTAAGTTACTCAGTTAAGGTCGTGTTTCGTGCAAGTGAGTGCAGTTATTTTTAACTAGTAAGTATCCTTTATTGTTATCATTATAATTTTTAAGTAACTTTTGTTGAGCGCTGTTACCTACTTAAAATACTAAATATTATTAAACATATTTATTTTTTTTTATTTAAAACATTGCTATTATCTACAATATTTAAGCACCTGAATCGCTCATTAAGAGATAGGAGCTTTTCTCTCGTCCCTCGTTGCACTCGCTCGTCCTGTGCGAGTATTTTATCTTAACTTTTAAATCTTTTTATCTCATTTTTAGCGCGGAACTTGCGAGGCTTCCTTTGTTATGGATGCGACCACAGCGAGACTGACGTCAGTTATCCTTTAAAGATCCCTTCATGGCCGCTGTGCAGGCTGGTGCAATTTAATGGTAGTATTAGGTGCTCTTTTGGTGCCTTTGACCGTTTAATTGAACCTAACTGATGAAGCTTCGCGATATCACCTGTACATTCTTTAACGGTGCAACGGTTGCTTTTTGCCGCCAGGGAGTTATCGTAAAGTGGTCAAAAAAAGATTGGCCCTATACATAAAAATAGCGCTCAACTTAGACGTTAGTCCCAACGAGTTTTCGATGGTTTCGATCTATGGGTTGCCATCCGGAGGGTGGAATGCTGTGGGCGAGTAAACTTAACTTAAACGGGTAGTGTATCCCTCTACTCTGCAACGGAGTCAGAACTTGGTTTCAGTAAAAACTAAGACAATCTACTTGAAATCAACTATGACTAACGGCTAATTTACAGTGAAATCCTATGCAGCGTGATATAGTAATTTCCTTATTAGAACTCTGTGTTATGAGGTCTGCATTACTTCGGAGAGTTATACAGTTGCAGTAACCAGCTAAATCAATGAATTAAACATATACTAAAGAAGCACGGGTCGAAAGATCTGCTCTTAAAACTGGTAAAAACTCTAGGTTGGGTAAAGACCTTCGGGAAGGTTAAATCTTACCTGTATCTTAGGTTTTAACATTATGGTTAGTAACGTATTGTTCACTAACGAGACTTGGTCCTAAACGGATGGAATCTAAGATGACTTTATAGCTAAACCCTAATCATAAACACACAAACAGGTCACAACTGTTTCACTTATCAGGACAACTCCGCTTTGAGTACTAGCATTGTCTTCCGGGGCAGTTTTTTGTAATATGCCGAGGAAGAGCATGGAAATCCTTGACTGAAACCCTGGTGGACTGTGCTAAGTTGCTAAGTTAAGATTTTGTTCAGTGCAATTAGGTGGTCAAAAGCAAACATGAAACCTAGTTTAGCAAGGAGTGATGATAGGTAAGATTATTTGCTTCATTCCAAGGCCGTAGGCGACTGAGTCTCCTGGTGGTTTTGGTTCTTTCCTTCTCTCATTGGACTTGGTCGCCGGTGTATAACTCCACTGTAATAGTATGTGATACTATAGCCTTAGCTACTAGTACGATATATATAAGGCGACCATAATGATTTATTTATTTTGTACGGTGTTATATTTTAACTTCTAAAACTTCCTGTACGAAGAAGCTAGCTGAAACCTAGCTAACACCTTATTTAAGTCTTTAGTTTAGTGCTATTTACCCATAAAGGCAAAAAATTTAACCTGCTATCTTTCTATGGGTATAAGCACTTTTTTGACACTTTGGACGTGTTATTAACGAATTAAGACGTTTAAAACCCGTATAAGAGATAAAAGCTAATTAACTCTTTCTCACCTGCACGTTGCAACTTTTGTGTCAGCGCAGGAGCTAGTGTCGCATCCTCCATTGACTGTGACCACGGCCAGGTACGCCTCGGCGATCCTTTAAAGATTCAATTTTAGCAGCTGTGTAGGTTGGGCGTTCAGTGGTAGCACTAGTCTTCTTTTGAGGCCTTTGACTGTTAACAATTCTCGTTGCCGGTGTACACTCTTTAATGGAGCGAGGATTGCTATTTGTCGCTAGGCCATTATCGTCAAGCGTTCGAAAAAGATCATCCCTCTATAAAAAGCGTCTACCATGGATGGCATTCTTTGAGGCTTCACGATGGTTTTCGATCTAGTGTTGCTTTTGGGTGCTATCCAGAGATAAAATGGCGTGCAACTGTAGGCTTATCTGCTGCGGGTCAGGTCATCCTCTATTGTTCGGCAGTGCATGGCGGCTCTTCCTGGAAACTCTCTGTTTGTTAATTCTCATTCTTAGCAAATTATGGCTAGTATCCGATTTAATACATCGGCTACGTTATGGCATTACAAACCAATGGACCGTGAATGGTACCTTCCTGCGGTGTGCTCTAAGCTTAGGACTGCGCGTTACTCTAGAAAGCTGTAAGTTCTTTTCTGGTCGTATCGAAAGATAGGCTTTTAAAATTGGTAAAACCTTCATGTTAGCTTGGGTTCTTTGGCAGATATTATCTTTCTTGCGTCAAGAAGCATACGTTATGGTTATGCACATGCCTTGCGCCTGGTCCCTTCGTGTTAAGAGACTAGAACCGTATAGCTCTTTTGACCAACCTTGGAGTTTATTGTCTATTAATTAGTAAAGGTTAATTAACCTTAAACTTTTTTTTAAAATAATGCCGTAGTGAGGTATACTGGCCTTGCCTTCTGAAACTATTTATTCTTACACGTAGTGAATAAAGAGCCTTTTGAGCCTTTACTGAAACATTAACAATATTGGCTCAGTTGCCAGAGTAAAACACTGTCGGCGCAAGTTACAAAGACAAAAGCAAACGTTGTGGCTGCTCTGCAATGAGCGGTGACTAATAACCTTATGCCTCGTTCCTAGGCCGCTGGTTCATTTCGGCATTTGGTTTATGTATCTAGTAATAGGTCAAGTAGCCTTGAACTAATACTGTCCTGGCTAAGTATCAGAGTGCATCAGTGTTAGTGACATGTTAAAGTCGGCCTAGATAACTGATCGAAGAAACGTGAACTAAATGGTGTTATTAACCAGTATACTTATTCCAGGGATGTTTTTGCCGCGAGCTAGGGTGGGTTTGTCACATTTTAATTAAATAAATTTATTGGTAGCAAAATAAATAGTACTTCTTTTTTCTTGTTTAATGCCTGTTAAGCTCTATTTTACGTATCATTGCAATGTTATACGAAAGTATTTTTACTCAGCTTTGTAACGAGTAAAACTTGGAAGTTTATTGTTAGGGTTGAGGAGAGATTGCAATATCTAGTAAGTCTTGCACCATCCAAGTGGTAAATAGTTTTCAAAATTGTGCAAACTTTCTAACAAAGATTTTTTTTAAATGAGAAAAGTTTTATTGATTTACTCCCATGTTCTGCTAGCGTAGACGTTAAGTTTACCTTCTAAGATGGTTGACTTTTTTTTAAATATTTAGATTATTCAAAGAAGGTATAGCCATTATTACCATGTCTGAACGCGCTTTGAAGGTAAGAAACAGCTTCAAACAAACAAAAAAAAATTGCTAGTTATAAAACTTTTGCAAGAATATTGAGGATGTTTGTATTATTTTTTTTAATTCTTTAAATCCTTTTTATTTTAAAAGCCACTTTGCGAAATTATACTTTTAAAAACGAGTTTACTGAAAATAGAGAAAGCCTCTGAGGAAGCAATGTGCCAGGGAGACTTATGTTAAACAAAGAAAATTATAACTTTTAATATAGCTATATAATAAATATTGACGCCGTTATAGGAGTGCCTATTTTTGAAGACTGGAGTAGTTAACTTTATAAATTTTTAAAAAGAGCGTCAGAATGCGCCGAATTAGTGGAAATAGATAATGTTTATCAAAATTAAAGAGTTGGGTTTTTGTTTGGTGGCAACAACATCGGTTGCTTGTAATTTTTTATATAAACAAGAATATGGATTCGCTCCTTGAGAGTGAATTTGTTGATTTATCCCACCTTTTTGTTGAATTTAAAAAAATTGTGGCTGAAGTTAATAAACCTTTTCCAAATCTAAAAGCTGAAAGCATGGTTATTGATGTTGGACAGCAAAGAATTAAGGGGGAAATATATAAGTTGTTTCAGCTTTTTAGTAAACCTGCTTAAAAAGAAATTAAATGGCTTTTTTCCTTTTCAAAGCTACGATAATAAGAATGTGTAAGCTCTACAGATGAGTTGGAGCTTATTAGTAACCTACAAGCTTCTAAGTGTGCCATAAATTGGAATCATAAAAACAAGAATAAAGGTAAATTTTTAATTTTACTTAGCGATACTGAAAATTTAAAAATAAAAAATAATAAATTATTTAGCAAAACTAATAAAATAATTGTTATATTTCAAAAACTAATAAAATTTAAATTAATATTACTTTAAAAATTAATTATTTTTTAGAGTTACAAATATGCAAACAATACTAAATTTTTAAGAATTACTAAAAATTTGAAAGGTAACGTCAGTTATTTTTGCTTTTATTATACCTGCAAAATATAGATTTTGTAAGACCAACAATTAAAATATAAAAGATTCTCTAAGACAGATAAATATAAGAGCCTCGACAAAGTAAAATAAAGTCAAAGAGTTAAGGGTACTAAATAAAAAGGACACTTGAAGTGCTAAGAAAAAAAGTAATTTATAAAAAGTAATGTAACCAATTAGTAAATTATTTATACTACTACTAATAGATATACCAACAAAAGTTTGTAAAAAAGGCTCAAATGGTCTCAAAACCTATTTTAAAAGATTTTATATTTTGAAGTATATATAAAATATTATATCTGATAACAGAGATTGTAATAAACAAAAGGTAGGGATAACATTTATTTTTTTTTTTTAAAGTAAAAAAAGATACATAAATGAACCCTGAAACAAGGGCATACAAAATTCCAAATCACCATCACAGTTTAACTTCAACCCAGACCAAAAATAAACAAATCCATCAACCATTAGGAAAAATAAAAAGTAATAAAATTTATGGTTCTCCCACAAAAATATACTTTTTAGTTTTATTAACAACTCTCTTTAAAAGGTCAAACTCTGCTAAAAAATCTAAAATTTCTCGTTTAAATCTACAGGTGGCCTGCGAAGGGCATCAAACAATAAATTTAAAGATTTTCCTAAAGTAAACGAGCCCGAACTTTTGTATTTATTCTCTATTCTTTGATGTAGTCTAGCTAGATTGCCAATAGGGCCCATATCAGGAACTATTCTCAAAAAAACTTACAATAACTAACTTTATAACTTCTGCCTTCATAACCTTCTGTGCCGTGTACTAACGTTTCATCTTGCTTATCCTCGGTAATGCTATCAACCCTTTCTATTGAGATGTCAACAAAATTTAAAGAGGGGCCCTGCAAGAGACACTGGTACATTCGGGTTTCAGCGTTAATAGGTTTATCAGCACACCGATAATCCCTAAAAATATCTGAAGATCCCTCATTTGATGGAACCTTGCAGACCTTTGGCCTTGATCCAGTCGTGACACATAGGGCGTAGGATTGCCACACGTCAGTGGCACGTTTCCTCGAGGCATCATGGGGTAAATTCATCCCTTCCAAGCTACTCCTAGATTGAGGTAATTCATTACGCATATTAGTTCAGAAAAATAGTGTTTCGGCAAACTCTTGTTGCTTACCTCTGCTTAAGAAAGTCTGCTTCCATTTCTGTGGAGCTGTAATTCATGCTTAACAAGCCCAAAGTATGCGTGAGTGGCATTACCATCAAGAGCCAAACCATATTTATCCATATACGTTTTCTGGCATCAATAAGAAATTCTTTGAGGTCAAAACGTTTATGCGAACCAATAATTTAGCTTTCGACACTATTAGCTTCTATCCTCTTGCTAGCATCTTTTAAATTGATATATTGAAGGGGCAAAGAAAAAAGTTGTAGCTAAAATCCTTGGCAATTGCATAAAATAAATATATTTAATTTTCCTTTATGCATAAGGAGACCGTGCATCAAATGCACTATTTCTTCGAAATCCCATTTAACTTTGGCAGTTCTTTCAGACCTTACCTCAAGCATCTTGACTAATTTATACAATTTTTCACTTTTGCCAATATAGTGGCTCCTTTTGAGTATACGTCTGAAATAAACTTATTACCTTTATAATTTTTATTTCCAGGAGAAGATTCAAAAAGGTCAGTATATGACCTCTTTTAAAAATGAGCTCCAAACCTTTTTAAAGTTCTTCGTTAGTGAGTGTAAATCATCCACTAATGATTTCAGTCATACATCTAAAAGGAAGCTTTAAATATGATTTATCAACCAAGGAAAAGAAAGTTGAACATATAACTCTTGGAAGAAACAGCATTAGTGGCACTCGCTTTGTTGAAAACGAGTTAACTTTAAAATGGAAATGTTAACTCTTAAGTGTTCTGAGTATGTTCGAATGTACTCATCTACAAAAATGTTCCAAAGTCCCGCTTTTTACCACAAATTCTATGGATAAAAACCCTTTTCAAACTGATCTTTTATGGGGGGCTAATTCTTATATTATAATGCACTAAGTTAATTAAGGTTTGCAGTGTTTCAACTTTTCTAACTGGTAGCTCCTTAATTGTATTCCGAGGAAGAATCGGCAATTACAGGTAACTTCGAATTGAACACAGCACACTCCGAAACTAACCTGGGAGGAAATGGAAATTAAATAAATTCTCTTAATACTATATCATAAACAACCGTATAAAACAAAAAATTAATCACAAGAGAAAAAACCAATAAAAATGTTTCGAAGCATTCATTATAACCTTTTCGCGAAGAACTGCGTTCTACAACAGAAAAAGCTAGCCTTCTCAACCTTCAACTCGTAATGCTCCATACAATCGATGCCACGTCGAAAGGGTAAGTTAAACTCTAACGGCATCTGTTTGAAGAATACAGAATTCTAACTCCTTAAGAACACTGAATTTTTCCTCTTTCACGCAGCATTAGCCGTTTTTCCGAAACAAAGATATAACCGTAATAGATAATAGTTAGTAAACTTCGAGAGATATGCGGATAATAAACACACTTGTAAGGTCTGGAGCAATACGCAAGAGTACTGTAAGTGTGCTAATCTTATCAGCACCAAAATTTTTGTAACGCAAGGTATTGCTCTAAATAAAAGAAGTAATAGTAGTGCAGTTAGGTGCAAGATTACAGAAAATAAACTGTAGGTATTTTCCAAGTCGGAACTTCGAAGGAAAGCGTCGTCAATAAAAATTGTTTCAATAGCTTTTCCAAGAATTTCAATGACTATGCCTGCTTTTGAAAATTTGAAGAGGTTAAAGTTCAGGTATTCGTTAATTTTGATTATAACTTTTAACTTTTCATTATTATATAAGAGTTCTTTATTATTAACGCTCTGAAGGTAAAAAAAAAACCCCTCGATATTTTAGCACTCAAAAAACATTTGAATGATGAATAACACTTCTTATATAATTTTCCATTAATACAATGACTTTGGTAGTTGATTTTTATATTGGTTGGGGACGATTTTCAAAAAAAACAGAAGAATTTGAAAGAGTTATAAAATTGCCTAAAATATGAAACAGTTGTAAATAAAGAACATTATCAAGTCTGCCTCTCTTATTAACTTAAAAAAAATAGCAATACAACCAAAGTAAGTATAAGTTGATGATAAAAGACACGCTGGTGAGTCGCCAACCTTAAAAAAGTGATTTGCAATGCGCACTAGATCTGATCTATTTAATAGAATCTATCTTATTATTCAAAGTCAAATCAATGAATATTAACTTATGAAACTCTTCAATATTAAAAATACTCATTAGGCCATTAATATTTAATAAATAGTTATAGTCATTCCCAATAAAGTCAAATTTTAAACAGGAAAACACGAACCAAGAGTGGTTTCTAAATAAATTGGAGGTTTCTCTTTCAAAGAAGGCATGGAGAGAAACAAATAAAATTTAAGTGCCTAAAGAAGGAGAACAAATGCCAAAGTGTAGTAATACAGAAAGTCTAGACCACCTTAATTTTTACAAACTGTTGTCTACCAATGGGAAATAAATTAATAAACTAGGGCCAATAACCAGTTCACTTCCAAATAATGGTTATATACGTGAAAAGGCCAGTTTGGACATAGTATAAGTTTAAAATTGCAAGTTCCTTCTAAAAAGGAAGCAAGTGTTTAAATAAGACGAAAACCAAAGGAATTTATAGAAGAGTAAAACGGTTTCCTTAGTATTCCCCGTTAAAACTTACCTTTTTAACTTTTTTTAATATAGTGCAGGCAAAATCATAGAAACGTTTTAAAATTTAAAATTGTCGACAAGTAAAATAAACAAAACAGATTTATGTGATTTTTAATTAGAAACACACGTCTAAAAATTATAGGTAAAATAACAAGTATTTTAATAAAAAAGGATATATTATAGATTGAATAATTAATAGAATAACTAACTAAATAATAAAGAAATATATTTAAAAACAAGCAACTAAAACAGCAAAATGAACAAAAAAAACAAAAAGAGAAAGCTGGATACCAAAAAGACGAAGTGTTACACATTATAGCACTGGCTTACTACCGATATGATTTATGATCGATTGGTGCTTAATTTACTTTAATTGAGGGAGCAAAAACCACAAGTTCCTTAACGATTCAATGCATCATTAACGAGAACAGGTGCGCGTTATATAGCTAAATAGTTTATAATAAATAGACGTAAAAGCAAAGTACTAAAAATATTAAATATAAAGGAATGGGTTAGTTTCAATTTCAGAATATCATAATATATATATATATATATATATATATAATTAAGTTAATATAATAACCTATAATCTTAGCTTTCCCCTTCCCCCTTTAAGTAGGTCTAAGGGCTGTTTAGACCACGAGTACTAGGCAACCAACGAAAAAGAAATAATTCAGAGTCTGTCTAATAAGATAAACTTAAATAAGCTCGAGGTTACACTCTAGATGTAGTTAGCTGTTGTGTACAAATCATGGGGGCATCCGCCATCATATTAGAACGCGATTTTGTAGTAGTTGTAGTCGAGGAATATGTCTGTTTAAAAATAGGCACAAACAATAGAGTCCTAGACCATCAGCGGGTGTATAACTACAGAAACTCTTTGCTAAATGCAATTTGCTTTTCCTGCATAATAAGGGATTTAACACGACTATAACTTTTCTTGTTTTCAACGACTTAAGAAGGATGTGGAGTCCACTTAGTCGTTTTGTCACGCACAATTTTGAGATAACCTTCTTACTTCGAGGAATGACAGTTTACTAGGGATTTAGGAAAGTATCCTTCCATTTGTTATAATTACAAAGCGACTTTTCGGCTAGTTAATTATCAACCTACCTGTTGAAAAGCCATGTCTTAATTACTGTCAACTTAACTGTATGTTTTTAAACAGAAGACAGGCGGAATTTGAACTATAATATAAGGCTCTCTCGTCAACATTGAGCCTAATTCCTATTTTTCCGACGCAATTGTGGCATGGCGCACATGTAGATAGAAAAAAGTAAATGGGGTACTAAGTAGCCTTGTGAAGCAGCCACCTTTAATTGTACTAAAAGCGGACTTCTACGAACTTTAGCAGGAAAGGTTCTATTCATTAGGTATGAGGTGTACTACCACCGTCAAGTAAAAAGGGAAGCTGGATCCTTGTGCCCTATTTTATCGAAAAACCTTTCAATATCTAAAAGACCACACGTGTTACTTTTTTTTATTAAGAAAGTTTTTGTAGCTTCTCTCGTAAGCCTAATTATCTAGTGAATTGTGGGGTACTTAATTCGAAAACCAAATTGGAAATTAGGCAGGACACCGAGCTTTTTGGGCGATAATCTTTAATAAAAACAGTTAGAGGGACTAGTTTTAGGAAAAAAATTACTAAAGCGAATTTCCACAGTTTGGGGAAGTAGACTGTGGTGAGTGTTTGATTAGTTAATCTTAAAATCATAGAGATAGCTCGTGGAATTAAGTTTTTAGGCATTATCGGTATCCGAGGTTTTTCTAGTATCAAGGAATTGGATAATAGTTCTAAGTTTTCGCACTGGTGCTAAGTTTAACCTTGTTACATGTGTTAGGTCCTAAAAGGTAAGAAGTAGGCTATGGTAGACACATGCTTAAAGTGGTGCGGATTCTAATATTTATGAGTGGACTGCCAGTGCGTCAGCTAATGCCTCTACTATTTCGGAGGGCGTCGTAGCTGAGGCCTCCAGCACCATGAATGAGCGGTTTTATGCCCCTAGCCCCCGTAGATCTAATAGTTCTTGTTAATCTCTTTAAAGAACTATTATCTGACCCAAAAGACTATATTTTTTGCCAGCTCTTGAGAAAACAAGCTTTCAATTTCTCCTCAACCTCAAAAATTGATCTTGTTGTAAAGTTTTCTATCGCTTGGAAATAAGAGTTCAGACCTCTTGCTTTCACCTTCTCTTAATTTGAGATCTAATATGGCCTAGTAGGTTATATTGATGATTTTTTGTAGGCCTACTATAGTTTACCTTGATATCTCCTTCCATTGGCACAACAGCTGTGTCTAAATCAAGTGCTTCGCCAATGAAGCGCTGCATAATGACTATACTTCTGTCTAAATATTCCAGAACTGTGGGTAAAACTGGTTACCTTTTTAACCCAGTTTGTCGAGATCGACTAATCTCTTATCTCTTTGAGGATGGGATTAGGATCAGAAGGGAGTACAACTAGTATATTGACAATGACAGGTACTTAAATAATTTATGTTACTGTGGCGATTTTGGACTAATAACTATTAAATTTTTTTGCCGGTTATTTCGGCAAACCTTATTTCATTGTCGCTCCTCCGCCTTCTATTCCACAAAGGGTTTTTAAAATTTAACTTTCCAGGCATTAAATCCCCCGCAATTTTAGGTATAACCTTGTCCAGGAATTTGTAAGTAGCAGTCATACTGACTATTTCAACGTAACTGAGCTCTCCATTTACCCAGATAACTTCTAAAGTTACCTCTATACAATAGAGCGCTTGGTGGGTATTGTTTCTTTCAGTTAAGAAAGTCATGCCTGGTCCTCTAGTATCTTTCCAGTCGCATTTGTGAACAGAATAGTTAGGTACCTTAAATCAGTTACCTTCCTTCAGATGTGTACCAGATGAAAAATTTTGTCCAGGTCCATTACGGCAATAAGTTTCTGAATTAGCCTCCATTTAGATAGTCTAAAAATTATTCCATTTCTAGATTAACTCCTAATGGCCTTTGCCAGTGATAGCTGATCGCATTGGTAAGTGTTGCTACAAAGTTATTCCTCATGTCGTTTAATGGACTGTATTAGTTGATTCAGGTTATAGTTCTGTTTAATACGCTGTGCATAGCTCTATATTTTCTTTAACGATAACTTTAAGGATTTTTGGAAGCTTTAGTTGAAAAATTGTTATGAATTTTCCTCAAAGGTACATATTTCTGGTAGTTCTGCATCCTCTACAATTTGAAACATGCATTTCTGGGCAATTAAGGCAGGTACGTTTTTAATTTTTGCTTTTAGTGCAGGACGTCAACCCTTGAGGGGCATTGCATTTAACGCATTTGTAGCTTGACTTACAGTATGATTCTGTATGTCCAAATACTTGGCATCTATAGCACTGGCCAGTCCTCCCGCTTCTTTTTAGGGGTTCAACCGATACGGCGATATAATCAATACTTATAAATTTTAGCTCTTGCTTCGCATTTAATACTCCTTGACGAGTAGAGGTAGGGATTGTCTTTCCGTTTCAAGGAGCGCATCTTAATTACTTCAGAAGGGTTGAACCGTTAAACATAAGAACCGCCTTTACAGTTTCTGTATCCATTTCTGCGAAAATAGCTGGACTAACCAGTTTAAACTCATTTTTGATAGGCAGCTGGTACCGCAGGGGTTCCAATGTCCAAATTTTTCTCGTCTAACGGTCACCTTAGCTTATGTAACCCCCCTCTAACTTACTTTTTTTCCTTTAATACACCCATTTACTAAAATTTGTTTCTCTAGGTCTACAATTCACGAAACTTATTTTAAATCCCTCGTTTAAGCTAAACTCTAAGGGCTTTGTTTACCGATTAATATTGTAATAATCTTGTTGAGCATTGAGCGCACCACTGTCCAACTTGGTGCCCAAAGTGTATTTTATCATTACTCAGTTTGGAACATATTTGCTGTATACATGTAATCAATGATTTGTCTAGCTTGGCGACGCTATTAAACGCAAGATGCCGGACACTGGAAATAACACCATGTTCAGAATATCAGAAATTTCTCTCTGCTGCACGCTAACTATAGCTTATATAAATAATTTTACTTGATCTTCGCAAAATTATGTGCTTTTTTTACTTATATGTTGACAATCAAGAAGCAAAGGTTTATAAATATAAAAAAATAACTTTTACGATAATACTAAAATGGATAGAAACGCCTAAAGAGAGCTAAAAGAACGGCCACGGCTAGTGAACAATTTTCTAATAAAAAGTGTTTAAAATGCAATATGAAAATATTACTCGTTTAATAATCCCTTAAAGAAGTATACTTGATCTCAAAAAAAAAATTGTGTTTAAGTTAACAAAACCTTTTGCCTACTATAGCACTTTGTTTAAATAATGTTGTAGTTGATAAAAAATTGTTTTTCATGAAAAGAATGTTTTTCAAAAAGCTCTATCCCTTTTTAAGTAGAATATTCTAAAACTGTGGTGTTAAATGACAGTTAGTTGTCGTAAGTTTGAAGAGCAGTCTGAAACTATAAATGCTTGTTTCAACACACTTGCCAACCCCTTTTTTATTGATATATAAATTTTAAAGTCTATTTGCCAAGTGGTAGTAAAAAAGCAGGAGGAAGCGAGTAAATAATAAGTAACCATTACGGTAAACAGTATTATGAAGTGCCGTGTTAAAGTTGGAAAAATTATTTAAATACATAACACTACGTTTCACACTTTTTTCATCGGCATAGTTTAATCCTAATAGCAGTGTAACTGAATAAATTATTTTGTAAACCCCTTCATGTGCTTAATATATTCCAGAACATTTCAATATCAAAGACTCTCTATAGGTATGCATCTCTATTTATAACAAACTTTCATGTAGAAAAATTATAAAAAATATTTTAAAATATACTAAATGGTCTCATGAAGCTTATTACAATTAGAACTCCTATTAGTTTAATAATTTAGGCGACCCTGGAGCGGTACACTTATCCGTAAAGACTTCAACTTTAATTTTTTATTTTAATTTCAAAAAAAATATTGGAGTAGACTATTTTTATTTAATGAATACAAATATTAAAAAATTCACAAATGTATAAGGAAGTAATACAAAGTTATCTTCTACAATTTCAAAGTTTTATTTTCTAATATCAACTTTAAAAAGTAATATATACAACTAAAAAGAATATTTTTTTTTCTAGAAGTAAATACTAACCAGTTAATGTAAAAAAAGAAAAACTTACAATGCTAACAAGCTAGAGAGACTCGAAAAAGTTTGGATGCTAATATACTTAATTTCATTTTCTTGTAAAAGTCAATATAATTAATTTAAAAGTTTAAAATAAAATTTTATAATAGTAAGCATGAAGGCACATGCTTTACTTTCATGAGTATAAGAAATCGGGGTAATATAATATATGGACTTTTTACTCCAAAAAATACTAAATTTTCGCACTGATGAGAGATAATTTTGATCAAAGTTTATTTAGTTTCTATTATAAGAATGTAAAACAATAAATAATATTAATTCCAGTTTCGCTATACTCTTCGTAGTGTTTTAATAATTATAAGCCGTAAAAGCTGATAGGATAGTTCAGCATTTACAAAAACTCTACAAGCTTATTTAGAGTATATTATTAATTTAAAATATAACTT